TCAAACTCATTTTTGTTGCGGGCCACTTTGGAGTTGTCTTCCCTCGGAGGGCCATAATAACAAAAACGGAATTAGGAGTGTCAACAGGGTAGTAAAATTATGACAAAATCTCAACATTATTTATTCCACATGACAATTTGGCATTTCGGGACAGATTTTAGTTAACATCATGGAAGTTGACACCCCAGATTTGTTTTAGCGGGCCACATAAAATGACATGGCGGACCAAATCTGGGCCCCGGGGCCTTGAGTTTGACACCTGTGCACTTCAATTAGGAATGACAGTAAAAAAAATTTTTTTTAACAGGTTAAAGTGTTTCGCTTAAGGCTAAACTTTCAAAGTACAGGGAGGGGTGAAATTTGTTTTGAAGAAAATGTTTTTATGTGGTTGCCCTTGATAGCTTACTAGTTTTGAAATCAGTCAACTAGTTGTTTGTTGTTTGTTCAATGATTGTTCAAAAGAGTGTCAACAGGGTAGTAAAATTATGACAAAATCTCAACATTATTTATTACACATGACAATTTGGCATTTCGGTACAGATTTTAGTGAGCATCATGGAAGTTGACACCCCAGATTTGTTTTAGCGGGCCACATAAAATGACATGGCGGACCAAATCTGGGCCCCGGGGCCTTGAGTTTGACACCTGTGCACTTCAATTAGGAAGTTGGTTGTGGTTGCCCGTTGCAGGTTGGGGGTGGAGAGGGGGGGGGGTCTTAGACCGTATACCAGGGGTGTAAAACCCATTTTTGTCGCGGGCCACATTGTAGTTACGGTTTGCCTTGGAGGGCCATTATGAATTTTGGGAAACCATCTAAATGTTTAATCCCCTCCACATATTACAAACACAGCACACAACAAATTGATGAATAACGAGTTTTAAAACCAGAAATCAAGAATAACAACTGTCATTGTGGATTACATGTGACAATTTGACATTTTGGTTCAGACTTTAGCAAGCATCACGGAACTTGACATGCTTGATTTGCTTTCGTGGGCCACGTCAAATAATGTGGTGGGCCAGATCTGACCCACGGGCCTTGACTTTGACACCTGTGCCGTATACCGAGACATTGTTGTTTGGTGGCGCGCCATGAGCTTTTCAAACGATGTGGCTTGGCTCATGAGCTGCGAAACACCGAGCAGCAGAACCGCACCAGCGCAACACAAGAGAAGGCTCAAAGCGCTTCGAGTAATGTCAGCAGACTATTTCAGTAGCTGATGCAGCGATTGGCATCCCGCCTACACCGTGCCCCCGTGGTGGAAATGCTAGCCAGGTCAGGGGTTTAGGGTTCCGTGTCGTACCGCGGGCGAGCTGAACTGAACGGCGGCTCTCGGTATACTAAAAAAGGCCTTTTTGTATTTTCTGGAAGCTGAACTCTGAAAGGAAGCCACACGGCGGTGAGATCGCGGCTGTGCGGAACCACGAGGATACGAAAGCAGTGAAAAAGGATCCGCTACAAAAATGTATGAATGTGTGAGATGGGAAGCGTGTGACTCCTTGCGGCACACTTGCGGTCCCTTTCCATTTCGGTCTTCGTTCCATCAAAAAAAAAAAAATGCTCGCCGGAACTTTTAGTCATCCTTCATATCACCTCAAGGAAGCAAGACTTTCAGCAGTAACGGATAAATGAGGCCTTTTGTTATGCGGCGCGAAGCCTCTTCCTCCTCCGCCGCATTTTTCCTTACAACCCGTTTGCAAGCATTCCCACAGAGCGACGTATTTACCCGAGAATCGCGCACGTCTTTAACCCGCCTTGGCCCTGTGTGTACAAGAGGGATTGTCGTCATCAGCGGAGGCAAAGAGAAGAAGAAGGTGGCGATGGAGAGCGAGAGTAAGAAACAGAGAGCCTGTGTGCGAGTGGAACAAAATAGACGAAAAAAAAAAAGACGGAAGAGACTCTCGGGGCCATCTGCGAGTCTGGCAATTGGCCAAACCACTGCCCGCAGTGCCGAGGCACATGCCCGACAGCACTGGTTCGACCATGCCAGGCCCCGGCCGACCCCGCTTCCACAAACAACAGGCCTGCGGGACCGCGTGTCAAAACACACCGCGGCCGCAAAGAGTACACGCGCACCTCTGGCGGTGGTAAACACGAGCTTAGAACGTGGGATTTGTGGATGTGGAACTGCTCCGTGTATGGAATTGGTCGACGGAGCAAAGTTTTCGAGCGAGGTTGCTTTCAGATCCGGCTTGGACTTTTTACGAAACGGACACACGCCAATCAGACGGGTTTGCGCGAAGCAGTAAAGTTCAGTTCGGCTCAAGTTGCCGCTGCACGATTCTGAGCTTTAAAACTCTAATCTGGCTTGCTTTCCCGTCGCCGTGTTAGAATGACCCCCGGTTTCCACAAAGTGGTGACACCTCGACCGTAACTTAGAACGCACAAGTCACGTATTCAAAAGCGAAACCGTATTTTCAAAGTGGAACGATTCCGTTCTGTTTGTGACGACTCAGTTCTCAGCTTCAAAGCCATAGCCATTTTACATTTCGATTGCGCATGTATTTTAATTCAGTTTTCGAATGCAAAACAAAACAAAAAAACGGGTTCATTATTTTAGGACGATTTACAACGGGAAACGCCAACGTATGTATGCCACAAAAACCATGTTCGTACTGGTACAGTTTTAGTTTGTCAAAGAACGGCTCAGTAAAATCCCAATACGGCTTTTATTTTCTTCAAAAATAATCCGGTCAGTTATTTTCCGACTTAGACAAATGGACACATGAAATCACGTTTCGAGGTGGTGAGTAACAGCTTGTCAGTAGCCTACAACGGACACGGCAAAAAACGTGCAGTGAAACCAAATCTGCCAAAACATTTTCAATATAGTAAAATACAATTCACTTTGCCACTAAACGGTTCAGAGTGTATATTCTTGATTTGTTACTTTCGGACCTTTTACAAATGGACACCAATAAAAATGTGCTGAAAAACAAACAGCAACTGGTCCACATCGGTGTCGCCACAGTTCAGTTCTTACAGCTTTGCAGTTTCCAAAGCTATTTCTGTCAATGCATATGACAATGACATACATTTTTCATCCATGCGTTAGGACCCTCGGCACCCCTTCTGGAACAACAAGCCTGTGTTTCCACTTGCACAAAGTGCGCACAGCTGCGTTCAGTTTGTGACCGGGGCCGTTCCGATCAGTTACTTGACGATAAAAATTTGGGGCCAAACTCCCTGGTGGAAATCAGACGTTTAATACATTTTTTGGGGGGTTCCCTTTAACTTCCAACTGATTTGATCCTTACTGCAGTTCTCCCGACGGACAGGACAGGCCAAGCCAATTGCTTCAAACCACCAAGCGTCTCAATAACAGTGAGCTCCATTGATAGCGTGGACTATAGACTTAAAGAAAGGCCCCCCTGTGACAGCGGGCTAGCTTCAAAGCAGACACACATGGGTGCATAAGTAGGGCAGGGTCGTGCGCAAAGCGCTCATAGCCCACTTGGGCAAAGAGGGGTTCTCCAGGGGTCGGCCGGTGACTTCATGCTTCGTAAAGATGTCTGACAGTGAAACACAGCGCAAAAGCAGGAGAGTCGGCTCTTGAGTAGATGAAAGGAAGTGAGCCCAACTCTTCAGAAAGAAAACCACTGACAGAACTATAAACATTGGCCCCGTAACTACGCTTGCCTTTGAAGCATTTTATGGACTGTGGGTATTTTAGGAACCCTAAACACAACCACCCTCTTGACCCCAAACTCACTGAGAAGAACCCTGAGAAAAAAAAAAAAAAGTTTCACTGACTAACATGGAATTCACAAAAACTGAAAAGGGGCAGGTTCAAGAGTGACTTATTTTGTTTCTGCCAATGTGTCAAAGGGATGTTGACATAAATAACAAGTGCAGCGGTGTTGGCGTGTTCCCGCTGATAGATGTAGCAAAATTGCAAAACGAGGCCTTTATCTGTGACTAACACGTGCACGGTGAACCGAAAAAAATGGGAGTGTGGTCAAAAAGCGACAAGACAAAATGTGAGAGCGTCGCAGGTGTTTGTTGGGCTGAGACACCCAGCAACTACCTGCAAATGCCTATGGGCCTATTTGGTAAACGCTGCTTTCTAAGGCCTTGGGAATTAGTGCACACAATTAAAGGGATGGCTATACAATGAATGAAAAAGGGGGTGGAGCAACACAAGTGCAAAGAGCGTGTTGTCCTGTGATAAGCTTTGAAATCCAAGGGACCCAAACAACAAGGAGTTGGATGCTGTTTGCAGGGCCTTGTGAATCATTTTGGCCAGGTTGGCTACATAAGGAGTGAAAAGAGTGTTGAGCTACATAATGAGTGGAAAAAGCGCATGATTACCTGCAAAGGCTGTCAACGTTTGGGGACCTCGAAAAATTTAAAGTTGTTCATAAGGCCCTATGATTGAACACTTATATTTGGAGGTGGCTACACAATGAGTTAAAAGAAAGTTGGGCTACACAATGAGTGAAAAGAGTGTGTGAAGCTTCCATACCTGTCTGGGATCTGGCATTCTGAAGAACAACAAGCTAGATGCTACTTTTTAAGGTCTAGAAAAATAACACAACCATTTTGTGGGTGGCTATACAATGAGTAATAATTGTAGGGCAATACAATGAGTGGAAAAGAGAATGTTGACATTTATAGCGCTGGTATTAGGGGCGCCTGGACAGTTGTTGGTTGATTTTTAATGCCTACGGAATTCACCAAAGATTTGGGAGGGTGCCTCCACAAAGAGCAAAAATGAGTGGAAGGATACACAATGAGTGGAAAAGAACATTTACCTGGGATTAACTATCTGGATGCTCCTTTTTAAGGCCACGGAAATGAGCGCAACCATTTGGGGGTTAGCTAGACAATGAGTGACAAGGGAGTGCATGGCGACACAATGAGTAGAAAGGGAGTGTGATTACCTGTGAAAGCTGTCTGGGGTCTGGGGCCCCAAAGAGTGAGGAACTGGAGCTGAAACTGATGGCTCCCCTGCGGCTCAGGACGTGCTTGGGAACCGGCCTGTCCAGAGGCAACACCGGTAGCTGATAGCATACTTCCATTGAATAATCGGGGAGAAAACAAAGAAATACTTGTAAAAAATAAAAAATATATATATATATAGCAACCAAAAAAATGTCAATAATATGATGTGCTGTCCAGGTTTCAAGTGTTTCTGTTCATTGTGGGCCACTCTGGCACAACTTCCATTGGGGGAAAAAACACCGTTTGAGCTCCTTTGGTGTCATTGTGATGCCAATAAAGACATAGATTACAAACAAAAACCTCAAGGAGAGCCTTTCCTCCTCGTTCTGCTCAAATCCAGACCCGGGGACCCAACAGACAACGAGACCATGTCATTTTCGGGGTCTTTATGAAGACGCTTCCTCATTTTTTGTCCCCCCCACCCGTTTTCCTCCTCCCTCCTTTTCAAAGCAAAAACGAAGGTCCTCTGCTTTTTGGGCTCCGCATGTTAACGGACAATAACAGCCACGACAACAACAAAAAAAGCTCACTTCCACCCCCTAACAAAAATGGAGCTTCGACGCCTCAAGTCGACAAATCGCCGCCGAGGGGAGAGCCCAAGTCCGGGTGATGAGAGCTCGACAAACCGCCGTGGCGTGGTGGTGCTGGTTGTTGGCAATGGAGTGGAGGGGGGTGTCTTCTTCTATTCCCCTCGGCCTCGCTTGCTCATTCCCGGTTCCACCCGGGTTCAACACGTCGCTAGCTCCTTTTGACGACAAAAGTGGCAACCAGGCTCGAAGAAGAGGAAGGGGGAACCCCGGCGTTCTTGCCCTTAGCTCGTCCGCTGCGTTCCCGGTGGCTTGTCAAGACGAATCATGGCCATGGATACAAACAGTTATTTCACCTTAAAAAAAAAGAGAAAAAGAAAAGCACAGTTTATTTTACGCTTCGGACTCAAAATGGACATTAACGGTCTCCCGGCTGCTGTTTCCTTAAAGGGCGACACCACCTGCCAGAGATGGTGCTGTTGTGGGGGAGCCACACACAAAAAAGGGGGAACTAAAACGCCTTCGATTCACACACGACCAATAGGAGATAGGCAGTCGTTGTAAGCGCCACGCTTATTGGCTGTTTTTCCTCATGATGAATGAACGCCACATACCCATTGGCTCGTTTTCCAAGACCTATTCCGAGTGCTGAATTTCTCAAGGGAATTCCTCCACACAACGGGGCTTGCCCTGCAGCGGTCTCCACACACACACACACACACACACACACACACACACACACACACACACACACACACACACACACACACACACAAACGATTGCTTGTGATTACCTTCCTTTCATGACTCATACTACTCAGGAGCTCAGCAGTAGTGACTCAAGATATTGCAAATGTAAGGGCATACTCAGCAAATATCTTTGTTTCATTGTGTGTTTGTCTGGCACCCAAACATACTATTGATTTTGCAGTATGTGTTTACTGTGTGTGAGTGTTTGATAAAGTGCAGCTGAATACACAAACAGTGGAAGAGTGGATCAGTGGATCATCCTCCACCACCACTAGCTCCATTTCTCCATTGTGAGACAAATAAAGGTTTTCTTATCTTATCTTACCAACATCACCAAGATAAACACCGAGCATTAATGGAGCCGAATCAGGGCAATTTATTTAGGGAGTGCCATGCACTTTGAAGGAAGAGGTATTTGTATGTGTGTGTTGGGGTCAATGGATGTGCCATGGCAACAGTTAGGCTCTGTGCTTAATAACCCCCACCCTCAATTTCCATGGCTTCCCCTTACTACTGTACCGCCCCCTCCAAACGCACACAAAGGCATCCGACATCATTTCCAGACATCCGAGAGCACGACAAGAGTGATAAAATGCCATTGGAGTACGTTTTTAAGACCTGATGGGGAGAAAAGTGGTGTGTGCTTTGAGTGGCATTTTAACGTAAGTACAAATACAAGATCACCACTCTTGTTAGTTTTAAAATAAAACAATACAACGCTCATGCTTTCAGGTACGACAATAATGACAGAGATGTGGTGTCTGGGGTGGTATATGTCAAACTTGTTCACTATTGAAAGCAAAGTACACAAATAGCGATAATTGGACCCAATCTGATCGTCTTTTTTTTTTTTTGCTCTCTTGCAATAAAAAGTAGCAAAGGTCAGATTGTGGAATGTCTCCAAATGATTATCCTGATGGATTAGTCTGTGGTGTGGGGTGTTTGAGACAGATTTTTTTCCAGTTGGGGCAAGAATCGTAAATGTTAAACCTGTTTAATATTTAAGGCAAGGGACACATGAAGCAATAATCAGATTCATTTGAGATTTTTTTTTCTGCTCCTATATTTCATTATGACTACTTTCAGTCCACTTAGAGGAAATAGGCTGTGAAAGAAACATGCACAACAGCTAATTGATAATCAGGCAAGGGAGCTTTTTTGGTCTGCCAGGTGAGCATACGTACCTGCTGATTGCCCTCGAGGGGAGAGAGGGAAGTATCCCATGAGGTCCCGTCGCTCCATCAACTGCGGGAATTGATTCAGTCGTTACCTCATGACGACCCAGCGAGAGTCATTTAACGTTGCCGGGCTGCAGTTTTGTACCATTGGACGTGCATTTCACGGATGGAACATTCCATCCTGGTAAAATGGTAAAAGTCGAATTGTTTCGATGAAATGCAATGTATAATCTTTATTATTAAGATGAATAGAGTTGGCTTTGTTTCCAACATGTGATCAGACTTTTTATTTCATTCACTTTTACCTGCCTGACATATGCATTGTTACATTAATAACCTAGTTAAAATGAATTCACATTTGATTTTTCAAAAACCATGAAACAAGAGCAAAAAACACTTTTTTTTACATACCATAAAGTACTTCCAATAAGAAAAAAATGCATAACTTGACAGTACAAAAGAAAACGATATAGCTTAAAAAAAAAATTAAAAATTACTTTAAAAATGAAAAAAAACTTGAAACTGCATTGCAACTGAACTGGGAATTTTGTGCCATCTTGTGGCAGAGGTGGACAAGATGTGGGGCACCCTTTTTCGATCAACTTCTGGTCAACTCTCTTATGCCTGAGTGAAGTAAATGAACGAATTAATTAATTAAAATATTAATTCCCACGTATGTAAATTAATGTAATGTAAAACTTTAATGTAAATTATTTATTGATGAAAACATGTTGCAATAAAAAGTAGCAAAGGTCAGATTGTGGAATGTCTCCAAATGATTATCCTGATGGATTAGTCTGTGGTGTGGGGTGTTTGAGACAGATTTTTTTCCAGTTGGGGCAAGAATCGTAAATGTTAAACCTGTTTAATATTTAAGGCAAGGGACACATGAAGCAATAATCAGATTCATTTGAGATTTTTTTTTCTGCTCCTATATTTCATTATGACTACTTTCAGTCCACTTAGAGGAAATAGGCTGTGAAAGAAACATGCACAACAGCTAATTGATAATCAGGCAAGGGAGCTTTTTTGGTCTGCCAGGTGAGCATACGTACCTGCTGATTGCCCTCGAGGGGAGAGAGGGAAGTATCCCATGAGGTCCCGTCGCTCCATCAACTGCGGGAATTGATTCAGTCGTTACCTCATGACGACCCAGCGAGAGTCATTTAACGTTGCCGGGCTGCAGTTTTGTACCATTGGACGTGCATTTCACGGATGGAACATTCCATCCTGGTAAAATGGTAAAAGTCGAATTGTTTCGATGAAATGCAATGTATAATCTTTATTATTAAGATGAATAGAGTTGGCTTTGTTTCCAACATGTGATCAGACTTTTTATTTCATTCACTTTTACCTGCCTGACATATGCATTGTTACATTAATAACCTAGTTAAAATGAATTCACATTTGATTTTTCAAAAACCATGAAACAAGAGCAAAAAACACTTTTTTTTACATACCATAAAGTACTTCCAATAAGAAAAAAATGCATAACTTGACAGTACAAAAGAAAACGATATAGCTTAAAAAAAAAATTAAAAATTACTTTAAAAATGAAAAAAAACTTGAAACTGCATTGCAACTGAACTGGGAATTTTGTGCCATCTTGTGGCAGAGGTGGACAAGATGTGGGGCACCCTTTTTCGATCAACTTCTGGTCAACTCTCTTATGCCTGAGTGAAGTAAATGAACGAATTAATTAATTAAAATATTAATTCCCACGTATGTAAATTAATGTAATGTAAAACTTTAATGTAAATTATTTATTGATGAAAACATGACCAAACTGATATTTTTTTTTTTTTTAATTAAAAAAGGCTACTAATTAATTTTTCAAATAAAACACGACAAATATATATATATATGTGAATTCCCTATAAATATTAAAAATGCACAACAATAGGGAAAAAAAACAACTAACAATATGATGTTAAGTGAATTATAAAAACTCACCACACAAGAAGCAGCAGTTTGGGAGACACTAGTGAACAATCCCTCCTAAAAATTGGATTCGTGCTGGTTTCTGCCACTTTCAGGTGAAATTTGCTGTCAAAATAAACATGAAAATAAACCGAATTACACACTGTTTAACAACTTTGCCAGGGGAACGCCCCCACTAGCTTAATGCTAACACATAATGGAAAATGCCATTGACAGACTAACGATGAACATAAATAGTTGGAATAAATCACGTCACTACACAATGGAAGTGTACTCACAGGCATGTATTCTTTATCATCTGCGAAATACAACCAACATTTTTACACTGTACTGTCCCACTAAGGTAGTGGTCACTATATTATACTGCCCTAAAGGCCAAGGCAGTCACACTAGCAGGAGGACCACAGTGCATTGAATTGAACCATGAAACCATCGTGCACAAACTAATGAATTATGAGCAATTTATGAAACTATTTTGAGTGTTGTTTTTATAAAGTACAATATTACAATGTGCTAGTTTCCAAATGCGCAAAAACGTCTTTTGTTGTTTTTTTTTTCTTGTGCAGACCGGAATGGATTGTGTCGTACAGTAGAAAAGTCTCGCCACTAGATGGCAGTAATTGACTGTTTTTTTTTTCAGTCACCGGATTTTTAAAGAAGAACGTTTGAAATAAACACTGTGTATTTATTACATTTAAATCTGCAATTATCGTTTTATGAGTGGACAGGTAGCAGTCCCCCCGCCCCCCTCCCAAAAAAAAAAAACAAAACTTGTGTGATGATGTATTTCTGCGATTGTAGCAATATCTCTCTCGACTCTCCCTCTCTCTCGCACGCTCACAATATAAACAATTTTGAATTTCGGTACTAAATAACGTAACCTTCGTGATAATTTGAAAAATTTAGAAAAAAAAAAAAAGAAAAAGTTTCCTTCGAGCCGGATTTGAACCAGCGACCTAAGGATCACCGTGTTACCGCTACAGTCCTCCGCTCTACCAACTGAGCTATCGAAGGAGCTTCTCGCCTAATTGTAATATTAGCTTTTTGAATACAGAAACAGAATGGTTACGAATATGAATCGAGGAAAACAACGTCTTATTCGGACACGCAAACCTCGACACGCTGTCAAATGTTCGAAAAATATCAGGACTCATACTTCCGCTTGTCTTTACGGGAATTAGCTTGGATGGTAGAACGACGTTCATTTCACAAGTGAGTCGCGTTCACAAGTTTTAAAGCAATCTGTTCGAGAGCTAAACCTAACACACCAACACAGCAGATGACCCGACATGGACGTTAGCATTTGCATTGGAAGCTAACAATAGCAATGTTCAATTGCACTTCACCAGAACAGTCCTGTGTGGGTCACCTGTGTCACCTGTCTGTCCGTTCGTCCCTCCGTCCATCGATCCATCCATCCATCCATCGTGATTTCCATTGCATAACTGTTGGATAAAGCATTTCATCACCAAGCCATAAGTTTTTACACTTTTCATTCATTAGGCCCGAATGCTAATCCATATTAACACTGCTGCTCTGCTTAACCTTTTGGTTTTGACATGATAGCGCTTGAAGTGTCGCTTCAAAGTCGTTCTTTTGCTCGAGAATGATCTTTCCCCCAGCCTGGCTGCCAAGTCACTGGTTGAGAATCTCAGTGTGATTGTGTTTGGTAGTTATGTAAATTTGTGGTAATGTAGAGGTTTTACACAGATTAACTTGCTTGTTTAATTTTAAATTTAACAAGCCGGCAGACACTCCAGAGAGCCAACTATTCATATAAACCCGATTAAGAAGTACGAATCACATTTCCTATAGTATGTCCCCTTTGAAACAATGGCTAGCCCGTCAAAATGACAACTCAATTTTAAGAACGTTAGCTGCCCTCTTTTGACATTATTACTCTGGCCAATATTATTTGCGGTAGCGCGTTTACTGATAGGCACTGCTTGAAGCCTTTACTGTGTAAATAAAAGGCAAGAGTGTTGGCAACCGGCAGCTGTCAGCCACTTCCCTTCTCAGTTTCAAATATGGGCAAGGTATAAATGGCATTGACGTGAGTGCACTAGCTTCTAAAAACAGACGTGATACCAGCAGCAAGAGAGAGAGAGAGAGAGAGAGAGGAACAACACACCCTCCATGTACTCTTGGGCCTGGGGATATTTTTCATAAAACAATCTTTTCCTGCCGTTAACCCAGCTTTTGTTTGTGTCGTTCCCGGAAGCCTGGTGAACCATGGAGAACCTCGAGAAGCAACTTATTTGCCCGATATGCCTGGAGATGTTTACAAAGCCCGTGGTCATCCTGCCTTGTCAACACAACCTCTGCAGGAAATGCGCCAACGACGTCTTCCAGGTAAGAAACAAGCCAGCGGACAGGCTTGAATCGCCGTGATCCATTGGGGGACCATCTGGCGCACTGCTACCTGACGTTAGCATCTCAAGCTAACCTTGTGTCATTGTGAAACATTTGACATTTCTGTGAACGTAAATAGCGCATGATGACATCTGAAAAGATACATGCCATCTATACAGGTATGTATTTCACTTAAATGTCAGAAGCTTGTGGATTTGAGGGTGCCCCAACAAACTTAACAAGAATCCTTCTTGGAGCTGATAACACCAAATTAGCGTGTTAAGTAAGGCCATGGATGGGGTTTAGCTTGTCTCTTCGAATTATCATCATTAATGCTCCCTGTTTTTTTTTTCTACCTTATGTAGTGGATATAAAAAGTCTACACACCCCTATTCAAATGCCAGGTTTTTGTGATGTCAAAGAATGAGAGTGGCGTGTGTCTGTATATGAACTTACGTGACACAAGACAGAGGCGCCATTCATTGTCAACAGGCCTCCAACCCGTACCTGCCAACCACCCGCAGCGGCTCCCTGGCATCTGGCGGCCGCTTCCGCTGTCCGTCCTGCCGGCACGAGGTGGTCCTGGACCGCCACGGCGTCTACGGGCTGCAGCGTAACCTGCTGGTGGAGAACATCATCGACATGTTCAAACAGGGGTCCAGCAGGTTCGTTGGGAAACGACAGGAAATCAATATCCTCTTTGTATTTGGGGTCCATTTTCCCAGAAGAATGAACGTGACTATAAATAATACGTTCCGGGGTCTAACTGTCATAAACTCAAACTGTACAGGGTCACTTGAATACTTTGGCTGCCACCCACATTTTAACATGATAAGTTTCACATAGTAACAAAACGTGTCACACTCAAGTATTTTCAGTCTCGAGCAAAACTATTTTAACTAATTCATTTTTGGAGGGGACATACATGTGATGGATGAGCTTATTTTAATACACAATTGCACGCAAAGTTGACTCCGCCGATGCCATTTTGCCCCCCCTCACATTCCACACACGGCCGAGACCTGACGACTCGTCGATACACTTCCGGCGACGCGAAAAGCTGTGACATTCTCAAAAGGGACACGGCTCTTCTCCATCTTATTAAAAAAAAACAGCGGCGGCGCGCCGGCGCCCGAGCGCAAGGAGGCGGCGGCGCCCATGTGCGACGTTCACAAGGATGAGAAGATCAACATCTACTGCATCAGCCACAACGTGCCCACGTGCTCCATGTGCAAGGTGTTTGGCGTGCACAAGGACTGCGAGGTGCAGCCCATCAACAGCATCTACCAGACCAAGAAGGTGAGGCTCAAGCCCCCTAAAATTTGTTTTTTTTTTTAAAGTAAGATATACAAAAGCAAAATGAAGGGATCATCTCACGCAGACGGAGCTGAACGACGGCATCGCCATGATGCTGGGCAACAACGACCGGCTGCAAGGCATCATCAGTCAACTGGAGGAAGCCTGTCGCGCCATCGAGGTCAGTTTCCTCTCAGATATCCATCCATCCATCCAGTACTCCATCCAGTACCCGAATCAGAATCATCGTTATTGGCCGAGTATGTCGAAACGCGAAGAATTTGTCTCTGTGATGAGCCGCGCGCGAGTATCGCAGTAACAAGCAACTATGAGTGAGCCTGTATAATTGTCGTAACATTTGTCTAAAGTCAGACTAGTCGTAAATCAAGTCACTTCTGTGTTTATGTATTTTTTTGGTCAAATATCGTTCTGTTTTCTCTATTATTTTCATATTTTTATGTCATAGATTTTTTTTCTAAAATTATTCTGTGATGTCGTATTTTATTCGGAAAGGGGAGGGGCGGAAAAAAAAGCTTTTCTATCCGCTCTCAGCTTTTATCTGCCCGAGAGGCGAATATTCACACTGTGGTTTGCCTTTTTATACGCTGTGTCGCACCGACGCGTTCTTACTACGCGTTATTCCGCCTGCGGGCCCGGCGATGATCGCGCAAGGCCTTCATGCGTTATGAACGTTGCCGCTGCGGTGTAAAAAGCCGCAGTGATGAGCTGGTCTACACCAAATGGACAATGCAGCTTGTCCATCACTTGAAAGTGGCTGCGAATCTTATCCCAGCCTCGCCATGCGAAGTGAGCCGAGTCACTCCGACTCTCGAGCGCATTGCCTCACAATGAACACTGACTCGATCGTTTCCTCGAATGATTTCGCGCGTCGCTCTTTCCCGCCGGTGAAAAGGAGAACAGCCGGCGTCAGAAGAATCTCGTGTGCGAGAAATTCGACCAGCTGTACACCATCCTGGAGGACAAAAAGCGCGACATGAGTCTCAAGGTGACGGCCGAGCAGGAGGAGAAGGTCAGCTACATCAGGAACCTGACCAGGAAGTACGGAGACCATCTGGAGGAGAGCTGCAAGATTGTGGAGAAAGGGCTGGAGATCATGGAGGAGCAGGAGATGGCCGTCTTCCTGCAGGTCGGACTTCGTAAACGATGGCCGCGATCCGTTTCTCCCGGTCGCTGACTCCCTTTTCTTTCTCTCTCCTAGAACACAAAACCCCTCCTGAAACAGTGAGTATGACGAGGTTGATAGAAGAAGCGAAATTGAAGCAACACGTAGCCTCTTTTCGCACTTAGGCTAGCGGAAGCGTGTAGCATATCGCACCTGGACAAAGTGGAGCGAGGCTACGAGAACATGGATCACTTCACCGCCGATTTCCGGCGAGAGCGCAAAGCGTTGGGCAGCATCGACTTCCTCCAAGGTAACGTGGACGTCAACGCCGCGTCACGTCTTTCCCTCTCTCTGACACCTCTCCTCCTGCAATAGACGACGATGATGACGAGGAGGAGGATGAGGACGAGGCGGCGGAAGGAGAGGTGGCGGCGCCTGCGACCTCCGCCGCTAGCACGCCCGCCGTTTCTTCCGTACCGCCGCTTCCTGCCCCGACCACGCAGACAAATCCCGTCCCCGTCGCAGCTAAGAGTGCGGCGTCCGCCTTGAGCGTTGCCCCAGTCGGTCAGAACACCCTGGGGGCGGGGCAAAAGTGACAAAGATAAACCAAGTGGAAAGCACAATGACTGAACTTGTTAACCCCCCCCTGTGTTTTCCGTGCGTCTTTCTCTCGATTGATGGAGCGTTTCTTCTGATGTTTACTACTTTAGCAACCATCAAAAGCACGTAACTACGTACTTTTTTTTTTGTTTTTTAAACCTACCTTTGTGGAGCCGATAACTTGAGCTGCAACGAACGATTATTTTCACCCTTTCACACACCCTGTAACCGGATAACGCAATAAGCTGTCCACTGCAGTAACCGCTGTCCCTCAAAGGGTTAATAATCGATTCGTCTGTTGATTATTTTTGTCAAATAGTCAATCAATCAGTTTTAAAAAAAAGTATTTTAAATGTCCATGCCTTTATTCCAAAACAGGATATTATTTCAAATTGACAGTGCACAAAGATGAATTGATTATGCTTCATTGACTGGTTTGTTCTGTAACATGTCAGAAAATGGGCAAAAATGTTGATTATTGTTTTCCAAAGTAAAAGCAGATGTTTCAAAATGTTTTATTAAATAATAAATGAATAAAAGAATGCTAATAAGTCTTCTTTCACGGATGACTCCAGAAATCTGTTAACGATTACTGTTGTGAGGCTGAAATTCCAAAATATTTAAAAATAAAACAAGATGTTGAAAAAAATTCATCAAAATAATTGTTGATTGGTTTGATGATCGAGTAGTTGTTCATTGTTGTACCTCGAGAAGTAACTAATAGGCCCTTGTGAGATTCAAGTATTTCATATGACCCCTATGCCCTTGAGAATGATTATTAAGGAATTGGGCAAAACCACCTCTGGGTCTTCACTCGACAAACAATTCCAAAAACTTTTCAGCATATTTTTGTGGGGAGTGTGTGCAAAATTTTTTGCACACACATTTTTGATGACACACCAAAAATTTGGGGGCACATTTTTGGGGGAAGAGGGGGCAGACCAAAACATTTTAGGGCACAAATATTTTGAGGGGCACAAAAATTTGGGTGCACTCTTTTTGGGAGGGGCAGACCAAAACATTTGAGGCCACTTTTTTTTGGGGGGGGGTTCTCATTTTTGTTCCGGCTTAGATAAGCCTGCAACACTGAGCCGCAAGTCGAAGAAGGATGACTCACAGCCTTTTTGTTTAGTCTGCGCGGAGAGTGTCGCTGAAGGATCAGCAAAAACACCCGCATGTATATTTATAATTTTTTTTTTTCAAAACAGCTCATTAAACACTCCATTCAAGCTTCTTGTCACTTTACTTGCCTCTCGAGGAAGAGGCGGAAGGTTGAGAAGAATGTATGACAACAATGTTAACGTTTTGTTTTCTTTTTAATTTTGGAAGCAAATCCGCATGCGGCGTGAACCCACGACTTGGCTTCTATATGAATCAATATCTGTGTAGGCAAGACTGCGCGGAAAGATGCATCTCTGCTGGCTTCGCAGCTCGCTGCCATGTCGACTATTATATTTGTCCAAATGGGGGATTAATTTCTTTATTTTTTATTATTATTTTTTTTTATGAATATTACAAACAGCAAGATTTTGCCTTTATCGGAAGGAGAAAGATGTGACTGAGGTGTGGAGGCTTTACAAGATGGTGCTTATTCATAATTTTGCAGCCATTTTATGCAGTTTAACCATTGTTTGGATATTATTTAACAGATTCGCCATATTTACCATTAAATACAGGATGTGGAAATATTAGTGACAGTCACTTATCAGCCCCAATCTATATTTCCCATTTAATATCTGGAATAATTTGTGACATTAAAGTTCACAAAATAATTATTACCCAGATAGACTTTGCCTCAAATTGGACAGTGACTCAACCACTTCAACGTATGTATCTGTAACTCAACATTTGCTGTCAAATATCTGAGAATTGTCGTGATATAGAATCATTTTTAAAGGGGATTATTACCATCGCGTGTACGGATTTCCACAGAGAAATGTAAAAAACGTGCTTGAAGTAGTTGCTGGGTTTTTTTTTTTTATTAGAAAATATATGGTTTCATATATACGATGTTCTCCTGCACATGACTGCTTGCACATCAGTTTATTAACAAACAAAAGTATCATATGTACAGGGGAAAAAAAGCAATTTCTCCTGGGATACAAAGGTGTTTTTTTTTTCTTTTTCATATGTGAACATCCAGTTTGAGCTGTAAATGATAGCGCAGCAAAATAAATAAATATAGTTTATTTTTTTATTTATTTATTTTTTTAAGGGTCTTTGGTTTTCACTTCCCGAAAAGCTCCATCATTCTTCTGTTGTTCTGGGCTTGCTGGGCCAGCTGCTCCGCCTTGGACATCTCCATCATCTCCCGCAGGAGGTGGAAGGTGAGGTCCAGGGAGATGGGCGGGTCCTCGGACCGGCGTCCCCGCTCCACCGAGTCCCCATCGTCGTCATTTTTGAAGCCGCCTCGAAGGTTGCCCGCTTTGCCTTGCAAAAGCCGCCGAGTCAGCTGCAGCTTCAGCGCCCGGTTCAAGAGCCCGCTTGCTCCCAGGGGGTACATGGACGAAGGGGGGAAAGAGTTTGAGTCGCCGTTGCCCAACCGGATGAAGTACTCCTCCCCGAGGCGCTCCAGGATGGGACCCGAGGGCGACCTGTGCTGCTGTTGCTGTTGCTGTTGTTGTTGTTTTTGCTCCACTTGCTGAAAGTTGGGGCGCGGGGCTCCAACGGGGCTCTCAATAGCCCGACATTCGCGGCGCGGTAGGAAAGCGACGAACAGAATCACGGTGGTAGCGAGTAAATTGAGCTTCATGTCAGGACGTGAGCAAAAAATCTGCAAAGGGGGTGGGGGGGGGAAGTGGAAGAAATTCGTTTTGAGTGCTGCGTCATGCGCAATTACGCATCGCTTTTTTTTATTGTATTGATTGGAGAAACTAGTTGCCGTTTACTTATTTTTAGGTGCTCATTTCAAACTAAACGCAAATTTCTCGTCATACCTTCACTGTGTAAAGGAGGTCCAACGCGGTGGTACTGGCTGTTGGTTGCCGGCTATGCTTGGCGCGATGCCCGCCGTCCTCCTTTTTTGTTTCCTCCCCCCACGAGTTCAGTTGCGTGGTGTTGGTGGTGGTTACTTTTAAATGGGAAAGATGTGATGAGTTGACTTGTATATATAGTGCGCGCCTCGATTGAGTCTGCGTGAATGGAAGCCCCCCCCCTTCCCCCTTCTCGCCGCCTGACACCCCCCACCACCACCACCATCACACCCCATCCCTCCTTCCAACTCACCATCCCCGACAAAGTGCTTTAGTTTAAACGGGATGACTCATATGAGTGTGTCTGTGTGTGTCCTCTCCAATAATAGACATAAAGATACCACACCTGCGAGCATTTTCGCACGAAACACGTGCAAAAAAAAAATTGTACTTTTAGTGCACCTATCAAAATTTAGCACGAGTTAGCCAACATGACAACACTGTCTTTTTTTTTTCATTTAAGTTGGAGCAACTTTAAAATATGAATGATTGACATTTATGCCAAGAGTCCATAGTCTGCACAACAAAGAAGGCACGTTTAGTACAAAACCTGATTAACATGTTTGAAAAAAATTACTCAAAAGCTGCTGGGTTAAATTTAATTTACATTTTTTCATTTCGAGTGGTTGCACATGATTTGTCAATATCGTAACTCTCTAAACGGGCCGTTGTACAATACAGCAGTCTGTCAGTCTTTTGCTGCCCCCGGTGGCCAAAGCGGGTACACCAGGAAAAGCGGCACAATAGCCATTCAATCGATGCGGTGTGACCAAAACTGTTCGATTTTTTTTTCCACTGACGCCATAACTGTATGTCTCTACAATGCACAGTATTATCGGGAGCCGTTTTTCACGTTAAATAAAAACGTTTAATTTTTTAGAGACCATGAAACGAGTGAAAGGCACCACTGTATTAAAAATGGCCGATCCACACTGCAGCCGCAATAATATTCAACCTATGGGTGTACCTAATGTTCTGGCCGTCGCAGTGACGTCTCTAATACTTGACCCTCTCCGTGTTGCACTTAATGAATGAATCGGCATCTGCATCCAAGTCAGGAAGGGGATGTGCGGAGGTGTGTGTGTGTGTGTGTGGGGGGGGGGGGGTGATGTTGATTCATTGCCGCACGTATATACGCGCGTCACCAGCCTCTCGGGCCACTCGCCTTCCAGCGAGGGCCCCGAGCCAAATCACACTCTCAAGATGGAACGCTCCATCCCGGATGAGAGGACCCATTAGAATCCCAAGCAGTGCGACGATGATTAAAAAGAAAAAAGAAAGAAAAAGGAAAATGCTGTTTTCACACGCTAAGTGCAAAGCAATTAAAGGGGGCAATTGGAGGGATCACTTAACTTTCTGTTCTCTTGTTAATGGTGACACTTTTTTTTTTTTGCATACCACACATTTGTCAAGCACATCCTCGCGATAATGCCGCTGGGTTTCCATTCCAGCAGGCTGCGGGTGGATATTAGGCTCCAGTCTTGTGTTATATTGTAGGCGTCAATCCACTAATTAGGGTAGATTGGTGGTGGAAATGGCGTGTTGTCACATGTATGACATACCCAGTGCTGACCAGAAAGCGCTGCGACCTCTTCATTCTTACTGTGGGCCTCTTCTCAGCCTCCACGCCCAGTTTTCTTCCCATATTTTTTTAAACACAGTCCAGGCATGGAGTAACACAGGAGATTGGTGTCACATGTAGGGCACAGATGGTGCTTGCCAGAAATCATGTAACCTCCTTTGAGGTAGCCGTAGCCTTCATTGCAGATTCCCTGACCAGGTTTTTTTCCCCTCAATTTTACATCACAGCCTCGGTATATGAAATGTATGGAAGACTGTTGAAGGAAATGGAGACAATACTTGCCAGAAATCTCCTCCATGGCCAGTTTTTTTCTTGTCTTTTCATCATTTTTAGACAGATATCCAGTTCTTGGCAATTTCATTTTCACAATTTTGCGGGGCTATGATAAAAACTGGAGATTGCTGTCACACGTAGGGCCCTTCCAGTACTTGCCAGAAATTCCTGCAGATCTTTTAATGTTGCTGTCGGTCTGGGCTTGAATGTTTGCTTCCTTATTGCCATCCCACCTCATAGCCCAGACCTACGAAAACTACAGGAGATTGTTGTCACATATTGGACACTGCAGCACTTTTAATCTTGGAGCCTCCCTGCCCAGTTTTCTTCTCATCTTCTTCTTTCAGTTTTCCTTGGGACATCCAGTTCCCTGCGATGTCCGTCAATCATTGCAGCCTAGTGATGGAATTGGCATCCGCGTAAATGCTTCCCTGCTGTAACGTCTTGCGATGGCGGCCCCAGGGTGGCGAGGCGTCAAGTCCCATCACCGGGAACACATGTTCGGCTGACACAAATAGCAAACACCTTGTGGTCAACGCACGTCGCATCCTTTGCAAATCACTCTGTCGTCGCCGGCGGAAGAGATTATTCGGCTTAAACGGTGTTTCCGTAATTAGAGCCACTGTTAGATAAATGTGATGAGGGGACCTGGAATGTTGACCTGATGTTTGGAGACCGTTTTCTCCATTTTCTCCACGGCGACTGATTGATCGTGTGACTTTCACACAACGAGAAAGGCCACATCGTTTCCCGAACTAATTTGAGCGTCCAGGTTTTAATCAAGGAGGTCGCTGCGGCCTTTTGAGAACTTGGTGCTCGTGTGCTTATTGCCACCTGCTTAGGTGTCTTTTTCACTTTACGACATCTCACTCTGCTCTATTAAATATCTCGCCCACCAGGCGAGGTTTTTGACCTTTCGCATTGAGGATAGCCAAGCGAACAGAAGTGACATTTCAGGCTTTAAAAACAAAACAAAACAGCAGCTTTGCTGGTAACATGCAATAACACAATGAGTGGTTTGTTCGAAATAAGATGGGACAAACAGCTTGACAGGAGTCCGTTTTTAAGGGGAAAAAAAGCAACATTTGAATCTAGGCAAAATGTTTAAAAATCTTCAAAACTGTTCATTGAAAAAAACTTTTTTGACCTTTCGCATTGAGGATAGCCAAGCGAACAGAAGTGACATTTCAGGCTTTAAAAACAAAACAAAACAAAACAGCAGCTTTGCTGGTAACATGCAGTAACACAATGAGTGGTTCGTTTAAAATAAGATGGGACAAACAGCTTGACGGGAGTCCGTTTTTAAGGGGAAAAAAAGCAACATTTGAATCTAGGCAAAAATGTTGAAAAATCTTCAAAACTGTTCATTTAAAAAAAGTATATCATCTGTTTTGTTTTGTTTTTTTGGTTGAGAGCAGATATGTTGAAATGAAGTCAAATCAAAAGGGGCCAAAGAATAAAGCCCTGAGGGGCACCACTTTTTTTCCCCCACTCAGATTAAACAGATTGTCTGCAGGTAGATGTAATTAATCGAAAGTAAAACAAAAGTGTTCCAAAGCGGGCCTCGTTGCAGGACGCTAAAACGGGATCATTTGAAAGATTCGTCAATGAAAACATTGCCTGTACAGTACGGAACCTCTGGGAACAAGCTTGTTAATTATGCACGATGAACCCCACTTGCACATTTTTTTCTTTTAATGTGCACCGTTTATGTATTCAAAACGGGGGAATGTGATCAAATAAAATGGATCAATATTTCTGTGTGAAGTTCCTTCACTTGAAATATTCAACAGGGGTAAAAGTGCGCGGCTTGTAATAAAACAGGAGCGAGTGTGCAAGCTTTTGTGTGCATATAATACACACACACATGCACACACACACACACACACACACACGCAGGGACTCCATTCAGTCATCAATGGCGAAAGGCGGAGGCGTGAAGCCGATTGCACCCATTTCGCAACGTGATTCAACAAGATTTGAAGACTATTATCCAAAAAATGAAACTCATACATATCGTTGCCACACTGGTCTAAAGTGGAATTTTTCTGGAATAAATTTCAGGTACATCAGGGCCGTGGAAGAGATTGCCTGCACCTGATTTTCTCGTACATCCCGCACTTTGCTCTTATGATGTAAATCAGAGATATGGGATGAGCGTGTGTGCGGGGCGGCCATCGGGGCATTAGTCTTATTGTACGAATTTGGAAAAAAAAAACGGGGGAGGAGGATATGTGGATAAAAGCTTGACTTTCCACCTCGGCGCTTGATTTGGTGTTATTCAGCAACGTCATTGAGGAAGAGCGTGTCGCTCGGAAGAATGAGGATCGTTAATGGCAAAGAAAATGAGACGTCAGGGCGGAGTCAAAATTTACGAGCCGGTACATGAATGTTTTTGAATCTTTAAATATTTGCCTTAAGCCAGATCTAAATGTACTAGTATTTGATGTTATTTTTGATTTTTTTGTTTTAACAAATTGACGATATTTTGTTTTCATGCCTTTTCCGGAAATGATTTTCGACTGGCTCGTGATTGGCCGAAAAGCGCCACCTGGTGTTGTGGCATGCACCTAACACCCTGTCAAAAGCAAGGGGGAAAAAACGTCTGTAAAAGAATGTTTTCTTGAAGTCAAGTGTCACAAATCAAGCGGAAAATCCCTTCTTATTTCCGACGTGCTTTCGTCCCTTTGAGTTTCACTGACCTTAAAAAAAACAACAACAACATTGTTTGCTACTCCCACTCATGTCATGTCACCATCACCAAGGCACGGATGCTAAAATGTCGCCTCGGCAGCGGCGGACATCTTAGCGGGGGGGACACAAATGGGTGAAAAAAAAATGTACGAAAAGCTTATTGTCAAGCTAATGAACGACAACTGTCAGAAGACTGCGGGCGGCGCAGCTTCCGCATCCTTAACGTCGGCCAAGCATGTAACCTTTTTTAGATGCCAGCAGTCACACCGAGTTACGGTGTCGGCGCGAGGACAAGCCGCCCTGCGTGATAAATCGCGGGGGTAGGCTGGGGGTGTAACACACCACTGGGGTCAATTCATAAGCCGCCTTTTATTTCCAGTGACTTTTTTTTTTCTCCCCATAAGAAGGGATCATCTTTTTGAAATGTGCACCAATGTTCTTTTTTTAGAGCAAACAATGCACCGAGCGGGGATGCAGGTCAGTGAAGATGCTTTCCAGAAAGCCGATGTGCAACGTCCTAATGAGAGAAAACCTTCTTGTTTGTGAAGCGAGCATAAGAATACGCTCACATGAAGGGGAAGAAAAAGGC